CCTGATAAATTAATTGTACCTAAAAACCCCAGCAGAGGAGAGAGGATTTAGAAGTGAGGTGATAAGATGAAAAAAAGAGTATACTGGTTTTCCTAGGATCAAGAAAGCCCTACTTGGGTGGAAGAATGTCCCAAATCTGTGCTGGTTCATCTTTCTGCATCCTAGGATTCCATTAAACTGAAATGTATTTAAAGGCAGTTGCTTTATTATTTCTGTGACTGCAGGGATTAAAACACTTCGTTATTCTTTCCATTGAAAAACTGAATCATAAAACAACTTAAAAAGTTACGCTTAGATTCCAGGGAGAATAGTTTGACCCTCTCGCTGGAGTTTGGTTCAGCGGAGCTGGGAATGGAGACCACACTCTGAAAAGCACTGTCTTAGAAGAGTGCTCTCGAACTGAAATACACACCGACTGGAAGTGTCCTGTCTTGAGGGACTTAAGTTCATTTGCTTGTGAACATTTTATCTGTCACATAAGAATCTAAGAATCTAAGACTATTTTGGAATAACACTTTACATCATATTGCAAGAGAATTGAGTAGCCTTTTACCAAAAGAAAACATTAATCCATATATCTGTCATCTGCTTTTCTCCCAGGTTAAAGAAACTGATTGATTCAGTGATTCATTGATTGGTTTTGCAGTGCTGAGGACCCAACTCAGGGCCTTATGCATGCTAGGCAAGTGCTCTGCCATTGAGCTACATCCCCAACCACTGAACAACATTTTAAATCCAACTTTCTACAAGTTTTACTGCCTATTTTTATCCCTGTCTCTTTGCTTTGTGGTTACCTGAAAAATATAAGAGATAGCTGTCAGACATACTTCTTCCTAGTAACTTCTCTACAGTTTAGCAGTCTCTAGCCTGCTGCGTTTACTCCGAATGCTCACCAGCTTATGTCAGCTAAAGGTCACTTGCCTCTAGCTAGCTTTATAAGTTATGACAGTACAGAAAAATTGCCAGCCTGATAAATTGAGGCAATAACTTTTATGTTATGAAATTTTATAAGCCCTCATATTTTGCTATCTACATGAAGGAAGAGCTAGCAAAGAGTAGAAGGTTAAGTACTGGGATTAAAGTAAGCTTGAGGGATGGAGACAGGGGGATGTTAAGTAGAGAGGAGGTTGTACTTCACTTAGTAACATCCATTTTTAGACCAGGAAGCAATCTGTTGAGATTTTGCTCACCCTGGAGAGGCAGGCTTCCTTCCAGGGCAGAAGGATGCAGGAAGGGGAGTAGTCATGGCGAGCTGCCCAGCTCTGAGTGCAAGGACAGTCCTGCGTGCACTGGGAAGAGTTTGTGTTTCTAAGCTAGTCTCTCAGTGTGGCCCGGGTGGTCCCTCCTGTTCTGCTTTCTCAACTAGAGTGCTGACTTCAGGAGAGAGGATTGCTCCTTCTCCGTAGGGAGTCCCAGAGAGTGTGCAGAAGACTTAAATGTGACCAGAGGTCATTTTGACCAAACCAAACAGCAGGCAGCCAGGTCCAGAACACTGAGTAACTCCCAGGCTGTTCTAGCGTGAAAACAAGCAAATATCTCAGCTTTGTTAATATTAAGTGCTTGAATGATTAACATTTTTCAAGTAGGTGGGTGGTAATCAATTTTGATGAGAAAAAATTCTCCATTTGCATTCAGTTTTTAAAAAGATACATAATTTAATGATTCAAGGGGGCAGAAACACACAAATGTTTCTAAATAAGAAGAAATAAAGTACCTCAGGGCAGGTACTACTGCTCTTCCCCAGATAAGAACGCTTCACAGAGAGGCTATGCAGTGTGCCCAGGGTCATTTCAGCAGCAATCCATGTAGACGTGATTTGGACCTAAGGATTAAGACCTCAGAACTCAAGTTTTCAATCTCTTCCCACCTAAACGGAAGTCAGCTTTTAGAAGAGAGGCTAGTAGCCCCTTGTATCTACTCTCCACATCCTTTGTTCCCATATCAGGAATTTGGCTGTTTTGGGTTTTGTTTTTTTTTTTAGCTCCAAGAAGGGATATGATAGCCTGCTTTCCTTCTGACTCCTGTGATTAATCCATCAGTATACCTTATCATCACCTAGGCTTCCTTTAAACATACACATCGGATGTGAAAGCTGTTAACACTAGGTATGACTGAGGCAGTCTCTGTGCAATTCAGCGGCTCCATTTCAACTTTAGAATTACACCGCCGTGCCAGAGAGAATTTTAAAATACCGCATCCTGTTATTCAGGTATTTTGTATTGCCAATCTAGGCCCCTATCCCGGCTCTGTCTGACAGCTAGGAACCCTGATGTGTTCCACCAGTTACCCAAGCCTCCCAGGCCAGTTACCTTGCAAACCTTCCAAAGACGGTTACTTGAGTTCTGGGGAGCTTCAGGGCAACTGAAACCCCCAGAGAGCTCAGTCTTCAGTAGCCCTCCCATGTAGTTCAGCTCCTTAGCTTTGTCTTTAAGAAAAGTAGTGAATTAAATCTCCAAGTTGAAATAAGGAGGAAAAGAAACACGTGGGCCTTCCTTCAAAGCCATTCAAGTCAAAGAATTGATAGCAGAAAACTTAGGCTTATGGACATATGAAGAGAGTTAAGAAATGCAGCCGTGTAATTCATATCCCAACCCAAGCTCAAATCTTCACAAAGCTTCCTACTGGCCACAGGCCACTGGGCAAAGCATGTTTTCCTGTTCTCTCAATTTTCAGATAATTAAGGCAAGACTGGTCAGGCCAATAAATATCACCGTCACCCACTGGTCAGCAGCTTCCAAAAGTCCTTTTACTATCCTCAGGCCAATATCCTTCAAGTTCAACAGTGCAACTGAAATCTACTAAACCTTTGGAGGAAGACAACAAGTAGGCCTAATGCACAGGAATTCAGAGTTTTAGTTTAATGTAGAAGCTTATAAAATCTCTAACAGAATAAGTATGGGTTTGGTATGAATAGTGTTTAATAGTATGAAAGTATGGATGCTGTTCACAAATCAGGCAAGGCTTTTAACAAATGTTATGCCCTCCTTCTCTCAATTACATCCTCAGGTGAAAGTCACCTGTGTTGTGTCAAAAGTTACCGGAATAGCAAGTGCTTGTGTGATAGAATGCACAATTGGAAGAATTCCTCTGCCATCTACTTCCGGTCATATGATGAAATATAAGAGGGTGCAGTTTACTAGTGTCTAGGGTAGTCATTGTGTAAGAAGGGAGAGGTCTCAGAGAAAGAAGAGAAGAGGGAAATGATTCACAAGGAGAAGAATCCAGGTGACCTGAAGCAGAAACCGATAGGCAAAAGCCGATGAAAAATCCAGGAGTCTATCCTTGAAATGCTCACTGGAAAGACCACTAGGCTTCCTTCTCACTTTCTCTGAGTGAATTGATACACTGTGCTCTCCAGGCTGCATTGAGCGTGGCACTGTTTCTTCCAGATACCCTTCACTCCACCCAAAAGATCGTTTTTTCAAAGAGAGTTCAAATCTCAAACACTCCTGAAATTCCGAGGCAATAAACCCGCCTACAGTGCCCTTCAGGACTATCTGCTTTCAGCAGGGAAGAAGAAAACTGGGGTGGGTGGGGCACCTGGCCCAGGGCAAGGCAGCCTAATCAAGAGGAAGAGGGACTCACAGGTGTCCAGCCATTTGGTAGTGGTGATGTTCAACTCCACCCTTGACTAGTTCCTCCTTCTCCAGAAACCAGTAGATGCTGGGGGCGGGGGGTGCAGGCCACTAACCTTAATATTTTAAGAAAGATAAGCCAGGCATGGAAGGGAATGTCTATAATTTCAGCCCTTAGGAGGCTGAGGCAGGAGGACCGCCTCGAGTTCAAGGCCAGCCTGAATTACATAAGAAGACCCTATTTAAAAATTATAATAATAATGATGATGACGATAAATAAAAAAGAAAGATCAATTCTATTTCCCATAAAAGCCATTCCAGGGGCCCCTCAGAAATCTTGAAGGAGTTTTTGTTGCCGCCTTGTTTTGCCATTAATTACTTCTGTATGAGTTACGTCTTAACTCCTTCTCCTCTGTTCCCCTGCTTTGCCTGATTAGGGCCAGAAATTTTTTCATTAAATCACTTTATAGAGCAATAGCAACATTTATTATTCATGAAGTCGCCCCTCCATAATTTTTAAGTCTTTCCATGTGTCTGGAAGCTTGTTTTTCCTCTTCTCCTTTCACAGAGAGACTAGCTTCCTTCCAAACACAAGTTAAAAGAAAAAGGAAAAGGTGGTGGGGTAATAGGGTGGAGATAACATTCAGTCAGATTCTTCAAGTGCTTTTAAACCAGCTAAAATTTCCCTTAGACTCAAACAGCTCCCTGCTGAAAGGGGCTGCGGACCTGAATTCCAGGCTAAGAATTAAGAAGGAAACAAATAACACAGTCAGCTCTATGCTATGAAAACCGCTATGTTAACTGGGGCTCCAAGATTTTAACCCGTTCATTTTGCCCCCTTTTCTAAAATTCTTAATCTTTCCAACCCGACTACAGCAATCGAGCAAGCACTTCTGGGATTTAAAACAAGTTCCTTAAGTCCCTTGGGCAGGTCCTTTCTTAGGAATGCCGATGTAAGACAAAGTTCACATTTTAATGCTACATGGTGTCAGTCACCAGCAAAAGGGTCCTCCTAGGCAAAAGCCGGGTCCCCAGCCTTTGTCACTCAGCAAAAATAAACACGATTCAAAGAGTTAATTAGGCGGTCAGCAGCCAGTCTCCAGTCCTACCAGGGCTGCCCACGGAGCACACACACACACACACACACACACACACACACACACACACACGAGTGTCACAGATGGGCATCAGGAGTCCGACCCCAAAGGTAAACGCACTCCGCGGACTCACTCCACGGATGTAGGACACTACCCCGTTGTCCCCCCAAGAGCACCGCCTCATTTCTAAGACTCCCAACTGCTTAAGGTCTGCACCCAAGTCCACGGTGAAGAGGGTGGGGTGGCAGGGGAGAAAAGGAGCTCTTGAAAGAAAACAAATAAACAAAAAAATGGAGCCAAAGGGAAGACAGTTTGCAAAGCTACTCACGAGCTGCTAGCGCGGGTGCGAGGGGAGC